AGTGCGTCATTGCGTACGTGTGGGTCCTGATGCAAATAAGTGACTACGTGAGCTAAAAATTCACTCACTTATAAGCATAAGCAAACAAAAAAACCCTAGATACAGCAAAAATATCTCACCTTTTTCAGCTTCTTGGTGTAGGAAATTAAAAAAGGGATCGCTGCAGCAAAAAGAATAACAGAGGAAAAAAGAATGGGAGAAGAACATCGCCTTTTCACTCGGCGATCAGCTGATTGTGGGGGTCCTAGAACGAATAATCGCAATCCGTATTGCCTCGACACTCGTCTGATGTGATATCGGTCGAGAGGCGGGGAAGCCACTAAAGCCAGCAGCAGGGCTTCCATTATGCCCTGATCGCCGAGGTTTTGGGATCAAGCGGGTCCCTTTTACCACCCATGCGGACCACTGAGTAATTCTAAGGAGGATCTCAGTAACCATTTTTATCGTAAACCGTGCCTTTACCCATGGTCCGACGAATTGAAAATGAACAAGCGTGTCCTTCAGTTCTTTTTAATATTTTACTTACACGTGGGTAAATTCAGTTCGTTCAGTTCTGAATCTTCCGGAAGAGTCATTTCATCAAACAATAAGAATGACTCATTTCCGTGAGTCACTCTCATTAGATTAAATGACTATTTTGAAATATTAAAAGCGATATTGGTAGCTTATTTCGAAGTAAACAAACAATGTCACATGGAAGTAACATCATTATCATAATACAGTTCCAGCTGTCTCGAATTCCGAGAAACTATCGAATTGAGTTAGTTCGAATGGCGGGTCTAAATTAACACATAGCCACGCTTTCCCTTAAAGTACAAACAGAGCCTTTTCTTTCAACACTAAGTGCTAACTTGTGAAAATTGGAGTTGGATTTAATAAATTAGGTTAGGGCGTTGAGTCTGGTCCAACTTCATCATCGGGACTTGTGGGAGGAGAAGGGGGTGGAAGAACAATGGATGCTTACTGAATCAGAAATAATCGCTCTGAACTCTTTCATTATTGAACAGAGAAAGTAATCTTTCAACTAATCTTTCACTATTGATATAGGTTATAACCTGCTCCATCGCTCTTTACTATCCCTTGGAAGCAGGATCGCCTCATTTTCGAAGTTCTGTAAGGTTTGAATAACTTACTCTGGTTTGGTACATTTTTGACGACGTCATCAGACTTCATATCTTTCTGGTCAAGTGATTTTTGGGGGTAGCAAAATAAATCGAAGTATAATTGAGTTATATCCGGAGAATATAAAAGATGGAACATCGCTTCCATTCCACTTTAGATGTAGTCGAATATTTCCCTTGTGATAGAGCACTTTCCTTCCTGACCTATAGAACTTTAGTGGCAAGCTTTCTTCTTATCGATCGATTTGAACTGAGTTTTAAGACACAGTCTAAGATAAAAATGACTTTTGTGATATCCCGCTAGAATGAACTTGTAGGACCCCCGTATGCTGCACGTGGTGCTGCCATGCCTGAAAACGGTCTAAAATAGGGCGTTTAAAGACTGTCCCGTGTGTATCTTCGGACGAATTTCACCGGCATTGTAGAGGCTGCACCAATCGCAAGGAAACCAATGTGGAGAGATCAAACAACTTGTCATGACCCATAGTGACAGCGGAAGGAAGTTCTGACAGCTCTGGCTTGATGTAGTCAGTTCTTTTGCAATTGCAACAACTGAAGTCTCGTCCGAATACCCCTTCTATGTTATTTGCGTCATGGCAATCTGTCCAATATTATCCCTACCTTTGAAGAGCCTTATTTTACTCGAAATCGCCGGATTTTCTCGCTTTCTTTACTACCGATAAACTATTCCCACCCTACATTTCCCTCAAATTATCGTGGACTGTGCCTTTACATCTCAAAGCGAACTGCTTCTCTTTTGCAGGATTTTTTTTTTCGTAGGATAACGTTTTATTGAAGACTATACAATGCTCATGCAATCTCTGATTTGTTAAGAACAAAAAACTGGATATCGCGGATGTTTCAAGGGGCATATCCACACTGGCGTGGTGCGATTCACGCGTCAATATAATCAGACGAGACGCGCTATAACGTCATGCTTACCATCATAATTGGAGAAGTAAGGACTTATAAGTAACAAAAGTAAAAAAATGACCAACTATGCACGTTTACAAAAGGATTTCGTAGTTTAGGATCAAAAAAATAGAAGTTATTCTTATTTTGGACGTTTGACAATTAAATTGTTGACCTACAAAGTGAACTCTTAATCTCGAAGGGGCTTCATTGTCATAGTAAAGAGATTTGCTCTATTTCATGATGAAGCCGTTAACTACTGCAAATCTTATTTGATCCATCTCATCAGAAGGGTACTGAAGCGATGCTGCGTTCGCGAAGATCTCTAATGGGATCACGCGTGAATAGCGTGCCCCCTATACACGCTGCATTGTTGCTTGCTCTCCTGTATTGTATCAGAAGAGGTTTCTCGAAGCTGCAGCAATAATAATTAGAAATTTTCACAATCGTTCATTGCGAAGGTCAAAGTCTATCATTGTAAGGTGCACGGTGGCCCGGGTTCGAGTCCGATGTGTCGCTGTAGTTTTGCCCACAATTAGCCATCTTTGTGAGAGTTTTGCATCGCGTACTGCAACGAAATAGCGGCAGTTAACAAATATAAAAACATAACAGGAAAGTGCTAGAGAACTTCGAGCTAAATGTTTTGTATTCGATTATTTGGCAAGTTATTCCAATTTCCGATGTGGGTTAGGTTTTAGTGTAACCTTACGTTTTACCCAGCACTGTTAGATCTGTTTCGGACCTCAACGATGCTCCAACTCATACTACTTGTAAATCCTGATATAACGATCCCGAGCTCCTGCCTACCTACTGACTGCTTTGATTGAACCGCTTGTATTAACCAATTATAAAAGCTTTCCAAATTCTCTCTTGCTTCAACATCGGCCTGGTTGTTAATGATTAAAATATTCTTGTGCCTTGCGAAGTTGTTAGGTGGAACAATTCATTAAATTAAAGGCCCAACATTTTAACGCTATCGTCTCCTTCAGAAGCTTGAAACAACTCCATATGATTTACACAATATCCAAAGAAAAGTGCATCACCCCCTCTGGTGAATGTGACGACAAATTCAAAACTCACAATTGTGGGTTTTAAATTTTTCGTCACATTCGCCTCATCGTTCGTTACAATCTCTTACGCTCAAGAATATTGTAGTTATAGAATTTTGTTTTCAGACATTACATTTGACCGCTAGGCTAGCGCAGCTCATTCAAAATGTGTGGTGCAGTAGGAACGATATGCCGCGTCGCGGTGAGAGAGACGCCGAGGAATATAGCAGAATGCAGCAGCAAGTGAGGAACACGGAAACAAAGGAAAGTAACACTGGAATCGTGCCTGAAGTAATATCGCATGGCGATTGAGCTGTATGAAGAGCGTTAGACTTGTTATAGCGGGGCAAGTGGTCCGCGACAGCCGCATGCGGCGGATCGATCACAAAAAACCGTTCCTACTGTCTCCCTTCAAAAACAATTATTTTATCAGAAGATTTTTGTAGTTTACGAGTAGATTTTATTATCGTACACATGTTTACCCATGGTTGACGCGTCTTCAAACCATTGAGGGTGTGTGTGCAGTGAGGGGTCTGCCAACGTTCAAAGCGACATTTACCTTTCTCACAACGCGGATCTTCCTGTTAGGAGCTAATGTGATTTTTTTTTCAGGATCACTTCTCATTTCTCGGTATCAGGATACCATCATCCCTGGCGACATATATCGTTGTTGGTCTTCTAGTCGCTGTAATTTCATTGACAGCTGTAATATTGGTGGTCGGAAATCGAAAACGACAAAAACGACGGGACGATAATTTACGCCAACGGCAAAATGCGCACGAAGCTTTACTGATGCAACGTGCGGATGACGATCGATATCTACCTTCTGTGTGAAATACATAGTTCAATAGGTAATTTAGGATCAATGTGAAATTCTCAGAGATATCCGATAATGTAAGCCTTGATTCATGGCCCGGCCCACGAAAATGATACTGATGTCTGAAGTTCTCACGAAATCTAGCACTATTTTCAAGTTGGACACCAGGAATACTGAAGGGAGGCCCAAAATAGAGAAACCAAAGAAATCACGTGGATTCGCACCCGAAAGTTTTTGAATGACTTCGAAGAATTACGATTTCTTTATATCAAGTAATCGCGAATTTGTCTTAGGATCCATATAACAAGACGAGTGACGAGAACTATTCGAGTTTGTCTGAGGTAACCAGCATTTTATTAGCTGAGAGGTTCTAGAGAGAAATGTGGGTCCCGCTGTTTTTTTTCTCAGAAAGAAATAAAGGGGAAACGAAAACCTTGAAAACACCAGATTTCAGTAATTCTTCATACTCTCCTTGCTGAGAACATTGATGTACAGGGTGGTACAGTAAATGATCGCTTTCAGGGAAGTTTCGTTTTAGAAGCCGCCTACTGATCCGGCTGGTTTTTTTTTTTCAAAAAAAAAAAAACTTGGAAGTATACTAGTACATAGAATCGTGTTTCCTTAAACCTGTCTGAGATGCGTTCCTCGACTTGCTAGACCCAAGTTACCAAGTAATCTTCCATGCGGATCTTCATCTTCCTTTTTTCTTTGACACAAAGTGACCAAACGTGTCCTTCCTACGCAGTTTCTTTTTTATCTTTTTACTCCTACTGATAAACTTAATATTTCTTCATCGAGAGCTAATTCATAATTTACGAACTGAAAGTCATTTTCCCTTCTTCCCATCCAATCAAAATTTCTGCAGCTAGTCCAAATTCAATTTGTGGGTGGTCATATTATCGCAACAATTTTTTTACGTATAAATCGGTTTGGGACTGTGAAGGGACCTGCTGAATCCCATAGCCTACTAGTAGCACGAATCTTAGATGAGTAATTGAAATTTAGACGTTTTTACAACTGCTGTTCATCGGTAATTGAGCTTTTAAAGGTCGGCTTTCAGTATGGCTAATGAGTACAGTACATCACACTGGTCTGTACTAAATGTTATCAAAGCGATCATTTACTGTATTTACTTGTACAGACAACATCATACAGCTGATACAGATTTTGATGAGAATCCCTAGGCCAACACTAGCCGTGGGTCTACTTGTTTGTATGTACTTGTGCACGGGTATTTTACCGATTTTTTCATGCAATATTAAGGACTTTCGATTGCTTCAAACTGTTTTTTTTTTGTTTGTGAAGCAGATTTTTCTTTTTTTACACTTCTCATCAGTGTAATCCCTCTGATTGGCTTATGTGATCTGTTCGACTGTGGTTTTTGTAAAAAGACAAAGATTTATGAACACGTTAGGCTTATTTGTTCTGAATAAAGCTTATCTAAAAAGTAAAATATCATCCAAGTAAGAGTTTTTACAAAATTACAGTAGTTCCGTTTATATTCACAGTAAGACAATGAATAAGCACAGGAGTAATATGGTCACTGTTACTGAGTAAGAAAAGGTTTTGTAAATGTATCCGTTATTTCGAAAAAGGACCAAAGGTAAATATGCCCTTCACCGTATCCACAGCTCCGTTCACGGTTGTTTTCGCCTTTTGAAGTGCTTCTGTAAGACCGAGCTGGCCAACTATACCTGTAAACACCAATCCTTTTTGCACATATATGTTAGAAGGAGAACCAATGAATTAAATGCTCAGGAATGCATCAGTCGAAGTGGTCCTTCTTGTAGACAAAAAACGCCGCCTGTCCATGTACTACAAGGCTCAGCACTGCATGAACTACTTTGTGACTTCTGGTATGTTTGGGATGGATGGGTTGTGGGTACTGGACATGAACGAACTCTAGTTGGCCTGTATAGGAGCTAGTAATAACTCGATAGGGGGTAGAAAGGTCAACTGTCCAGTGTGAGCGAACCGTGTTCTAGTTGATGCTGGCCAGAAGTGTTTTCGAGCTACTCTAACTATGTTCAGAGTGGTGGCAGTGTTGAGAAGAGAACATTATGACGGGATAGGGGTCTGCTATTGAAGTCCACAACTCAACTAAACATCTTGTGGATGGGCAGAACATGACAGAGGTTAACAAAAAATTTCAGTAGGAAGGTGGTTCTTGAGTAAATGTGCTTGATTTGAAAACCGTGAAACACGGGGAGGGATCCTTTCTTAGCAACTTCCTAGTATGGGATTCAATAAAATCGGTAGAGGTCATAGGTGCCAAGTGGTTATTTTCACCTATGGCCAAATGCACTCGATGGTCGAGAAACGAGGGTTCAGTCGTGGAACCGAGTGGGATAATCGAAGTTTTGAAAGTTCATGTATTTGGGCGTAGGCTATCATTCGAGGCTTCCGATAAAAACAGTTTCTGTTACTTTCCCACAGGATGAGTTTGAGGACCCCGCTTATATCATATCTGGCACAATCAAGTCTGAAAACGGCCTAGTTAGGAAGTTATAAAGTCTCAAAGATTGACCCGTGTGTATCCTCGGACCAGTTTCAGCGGCATTGTAGAGGCTGCACCGATCACAAAGGAGCCCATGTAGGGTGTTCAAACAACTTGTCATGGTCGATAGCGACAGTGAAAGGCAGCTTTGTACAGTTCTGGCCTGGAGTAGTCAGCTCTTTGCGTAATTGCAATAACTGAAATCTCGTCCGAATATTCCTTCCATTTTATTTTCGTCATAGCAATCTCGTCCAACCTCTATTTCCCCTACTTATGAGGAGCCATATTTTTCTCGAAATCGGCAAATTCTTTCGCTTTCTTCACTACCAATGAACTATTCCCAATCTATACTTCCGCTTCTCGAATGAAAATGGGCATCTCAGGATTAACGTGATATGGGTTTTTTAATTGATTTTCGGATCTGAGAACATAACAGATGGACTGCCTATACGTATACTCGCATTTCACATAGAATTGGACCAGGAAAAAGAGAAAAATATGCTAAAAAGAGCCAATTCGTCACGCCAGAATACGTAGACCAGGACTACCAACGGATAAGGCACACATTTTTATGGTCACTACAAATTTTTTCTATTTCATTGGCCCTATACTGATGAAAAATAACCAGCTCAGAATAGTAACCATGCCAGCATCATCGATGCCCCTTCACTACTCGACGACTCTCCACATTCCACCTGTTGCGTGATTTGTAAGCTAAGTGTGAATCAGAGAATAAGGCGCACTTTCTATATGATTTCACTTGTTTTTCGATAAATTCTAGAGCTAATGGTTGCTTACTAGTAGTTATTACATTATGGGGTTAGTAGAGCTATGGCCTGCTGGCTACTTTTAGGGGAACAGGTCGAGGTTTCTTGGCCGGGTTCATCCTAGCACCGTTTAGGGGAGCAACCTTCGGAAGAAAGAAACATTCCGATAAAGCTTTACGATTGAGATTTCCCCAAAAACTGTATACCTCAATGATTACTCATTTTTCAAAGTGACCACTTAGAATGATAACCTTTTTATTGAGAAACATCGACCTACGGAAAAACTTACTGTCATCAGCTTGTTGCTGTTCGTAGGCTAGTTGTTCAGGGCTCTTGCGCATTCCCATGATTTGTCCCTCAACATACTCAGTCTCATTGTCTTTCTTTTTGATATTATACTGAAAAATAAGTCTTGCAAAGCTGTTTATGGTCGTACATTTGAGTTGATGAGCCTCGAGGGGAAATAAAAAAGCGATGTGAACACATGCAGTTGCAAAACGTTCATCAGTATTCTGCCAATTAATGTATTTGGTAATGAAGGCCGAGCGTTTCCTTCTAAACGGGGCATCTAATGCATTTCCACATTGATTTTTGACTTGTAATTTGCCTCTATTTCTAAACACTTCAACGATGGAATGATTCCTGATGAAATTAAAAGGTGAAGCAATCTGTTATAAAGGGATTTAGTGGAACAACATGGCTACTGCTGTCTCGTTCAAAAGTAGGGGGTGCATCGGATGCATGGCAGTTAATTGGTGGCGAAGTTTGGAGGAACTCCAAGGCATTCTTATCGAGTTGGATAGACGCTCGGAAAAGTCTTGATCATCATGTCCAAAGATTCCCTAAAGTCTCCCGAATATGATGCAAAAGTTTGAGCTGCCAAATTTGCGAACTGGGTAATTGAAAAACCTACCCAGTTTGGCAACTACCTGGTTTTGTAACTCATAAGATATATTTTCAAAATATGATTTTTTTTGAATCAGAATTAGCTTTTCGAGCACTGAGAAATGTTAAATATTTGCCGTCCCTACGAGAATTCCATTTTTCGAGACTGAAATGACCAAACCTTTTCCCTTATGTTCCGCCGCATTTTCTCCCTGTCAGCTTCCATTTTGCGATGCTTCTCCTTTCGTCTTTCCTCTTGCTCTAATCGTGCAGCGAGAACCTAAAATATAATTGCTTCACATCAAATTCGTAGGAGCCTTCACAAGGAGTGCGATAGGATGGAAGTAGAGTATGGATGAGTTAAATCCATTCTTCGACCTCTTTCAATCAATGTGAGCGAGTGTGGTGCAGTTGGATCGAAGTGACCGCTTGGCGGCGAGAACGACGTCGCGCACGATGGAACGCAGCAGAATGAAGCAGAAGCTGTGCAGCGAGTAAGGAGTACAAAGAAAAACAAGTCAAAAAGAACTAGAATCATGTAAAAATTAACAATCGCATATCGATCGAGCTGTATAAAGCACGCTAGGATTGCAAAAACGAGGCAACTAATACGCGGCTGCCCCGCGCGGCGAATCGATTGGAGAGGATCGATTCAACTGCCCGTCTCTTAATGTGCTCATATCTCTGCAGCCACAGACCACTTAAGAAGCCTTGGATCGTTATAACTTTGCAATAATAAATATGTTAATCTTCTACATGCAATTCTACAATCTTCAATTAAGCTATCACCCTTTTAATATGTAGGCAACCTATTGAAATGTTACAACAAGAGTAAATAAATACAAAGTAAAGACGCAGACGTGAAATTAGGATGATGGAACTTCTATCAGAGAAATTCGTAGGAGTCGCTCTGTTACTGGCCTACATCAGTAATTATTGTTCCACCAAAAAAAAAAAATCAGGGAAGCTCCTAAAAAAAAAAGGAAAATTCCACTTGTAAGTCGCCACTAAAGGATTCCAATCATTTCTAATATTCTCTTACCATCCGTGTATTATGTGAATATTTTCATCATATCACCCTAAAAAAATCACTTATCTAAGATCTGAACAAACGAGTTTGTAGAAAAGTCAACGATCAGATAGCTTCGTTGAAGTCGATCAGTTGAGGCAGACACAGTACTATTTATCTTGCAGTGTAACCTAAGTAGGGAATTAAGAGTAGCTGGGTAACCCATGTATACAGCAAGTGAAAAAAGGCGCTACTACTAGGCTGCAAGTGAAGTTGTTGAACACAGCATGGCTTTCCTTTTTTGGACCTTTTTTCGGCCATTATCAGAAAACATTGACTATCACCTCTAGATGAGTGGGTTGCCGGGAAAAGGTGAACGGAATAAGCTTCTCTAGTATCAAAAAGATCTAAGGCGACGGAAACCTGGGCCTAATTCGAAGAAGAAGCGTCAAAAAGAGCTTTCGAAGGAGGGGTGGATTCTGGCCGTGATCCTTGGGGGTATTGAAATCTGCGTCGGCGGCACATGGATGTTGAGAGATTTCTAGGCAGCTATAAAGAACGTCAGAATCGAGGTGGAACAAATGAGAGAAATTGCCGATCATGGATAAGTTTCTTTTGGTGAAACTAAAAAAACGACTGAAAGGTCTTAATTTTGAAAAGGATTGATGAGTCTCGTACACGTCACGGATATAAAAATGTGTAGAGTACGAGATATACACGGAAAATCCTTCAGTGGCGTGCCTTAGTGCTCCCTTTTCTATTTGAACCTTATGAAGAAATCAACAGGTTGTAAGTGCGAATAGAATTTCAAGAAAGCACCCTTGGCAGATTCAGTTAGGAAGAGCTGCTGTAGTGTAATCATTTCTTAACCAGTTTAAAGTAAGAGTCAAAGGCTGTAAATCCGTAGAACAATGAAACAGTTCGTCGAAATTGCCTTTCAAATGAACAGCTTCTACATAAAATAATCATAACAACAAGTGAATGAATACGTGGTTGTGTGAGGAAAGGTTTGACAGGCGACAAATCATTCTTATATCCAGCAGATTCCGGAATCTGGAGCGGAATGTCAACGTCAACACATTGACAGAACGATAGCGCGCAAGTAACGCCCAAGTCGACTAGATGGGGGAGCCATTAGTGATGCACGAGGCTAATAATGGGCTGAGGTAGGAGAATGGGTCGATCAGTGATCATTAAGGGCTGAGTGACAGGTCTGTGTAAGAGCAGCAGCACTGAGGTATTTTCCATTTTCTGGTGACCACATTCACAAGCAAAAGGGAAGGACCCCCTGCTGTGAAAAATGTCGACCCAACTTCATGAGAGGCTAAACGCGCTAATCGAAAATAATTTTCCCCTTTTCCCATATGAGGCAACTCTATCTAGTGGATAAATATTGGAACAACATGTAAGTTCGGTACTATATATGGGTTATATATATATATATTATAATTATTATAATATATATATATATTGGTGAGACGGGAAGGATGCTAGGCATACGCGTTAAAGAACATCTAGCAGGTAAAAGGCGAGGAAGCCTACTAACGCCACTTGGCAAGCATCGATTAGAAGATCATCAAGGCGAAGATTTTGATATCAAATGCAAAATCCTAGCCTACGAGAACGAAATTGGTGCTAGAAAGATATTGGAAGCGTTGTATATCCGCGAGCGAAATCCTAAACTGAACAACCGGAGTGAGTGCATTGCCATAACGAGTGAACTCCTGCCATTCATTCCCTTTTGTGGGCTTTGAGATCACCGCGCAATTCTTATCTCACAACCGTCAATGGTGTCTCATTGTTCCCATATTGTTCACGAAATAGAGTGGGAAGACAACGCTGGTGGAACCGTAGAAGGTTGGTTTCTTGGCAGGGATGTTTCGGTGTTTGAGTTTCTAGGAGTAGTTGGAACTGGCCTAGTGCGTTTGGGCGCTTGGTCAGGTAAGCCATAGACCAAGAGCTCCGAACTACTTTCAGGTCCTTGAAGACGACGAGTTAGTCGAAACGTCGGCCTAATAAACGGTTCCATCATAACAAACCTGTACGGCAAAGTATACTGAAATAGTACCGTAGGTTTTTTCCCACATTTATGACGTCACTCATCCCAAGCTATCTGCAAAAATAAAAACTACTGCGCTAGTTATCGATTGGTCAGTTTTGTTAAAAAATCGCGCCCATCAATCAGAAATAATTTAGCAACATGTTAATGTGAACCAATCAATTTGTAAATCTGGCTTTCTTGTTTACCCATTCATCTTTACGAAAGAATCGATTTTCAAGTCTGTTCTCGTTTACCTACAGTAGGCTAGTAGGTGCACCAGCGTCGTCAAAATCGCCATGGGTTTCGACAGAAAATTGGCCCGCGCGAATGTGGTGCAGTAGGAACGAAATTGTCGCGTCGCGGCGAGAGAGACGCAGCGCGCGAAGAAATGTAGCGGATGCAGCAACAAGTAGGAAATTCAGGAAACAAAGAATTAACAGTAGAATCATGCGTAATAATCGCATAATGAGCTGTATGAAGAACGCTAGAGAAAGTGGGAACGAGGCAAATGATTAGCGACAGCCGCGTGCAGCGGATCGATTACCCAAAACCGATCCTAGTGCCCGTCTCCCGGCCTGCGCGCATCCCCGGAGGCACAAATGTACCCATACTCGGACTGTATACATGTGAACGCAATTAGCTGCATCCAGAAAAAAATGAAAAAAATAGCCCAACTTCCTTCGCTGAAGAAGCTAAGTTTACTTTGAACCGAGTAAACTTGTACACTTATATTGCATGCAGAATATTTGTGATTTCAACCGTTGCAAGAGTTCAAGAAAGAGACAATTGTTAGATAGCATCGAGTGTATGGAACACCGCAGGACATTTTGTAGAAACGAGGCTGTTTACTAGTTGGAAATTTTTCAGGAATATGTAGAGGGACTTCATCAACAGAGACTTTAATATTCAAGATGTAACATGTCAAACGAGAATTGTAAACATCAGCTTTCGAATCAATAGTATTGTGTTCCCTTGACCAAATGGTTGACATTCCTCAACAGCATGCTTGCATACCACCCAAATATTTCAGTTTTAAAAAAAAAATTCTGGATAGTTTTCAAATTTGATGAAAACGCCAGAAGGAATATGGCGAGACGTGGAGATTTCGTCGCCATCCAGTCTAGAGCGATTTTCATGGGAATTTTCTAGAGACGGAAGCACATTAGACCCACGAACATGCAGTTTTTTGTTGAAATCCTGATCATAACGGATTTCCGGACGGAACCTGACAAAATTAAATGAAATCAGCCCAAGGTAAATTCTCCGGTTATCAGCTATCTGAGAAGAGAATTTTCATTCCTGATAGGTAATGTTGTGCAGTCCCTTAGAACTAAATTTTTTGCGAGCTTCTTATTCGAGTAGGAACTTTAGAAAAACTTATTTCAGCATCTCGGTCAAGAAAGTGATCAAAAACAGTTTCTTGTTTGAGGAAGGAAAGTTTTTTCCTTGCTTTCTTAGATGAGATTTTCTTTCTTGATATCAGGGATAGGTGCTGTACGTATACTAATCCTGTCTCGTAATATTCATAAGTAAAATACATAGTCTAAGTGCCAGCGGATATTTCTGGGAATCTGTGACCCTTTGTAAGGCTTTTTGAGGCCACGTGGAGCATTGTTGGATCGAAAGTAGCCTACAGGTTGCTCATAAATCGGTGCCAATCCCTTTCTCGCTCATACTGCTCATACTTCCAAGAAAAGCCGAGTTCAACGGTTCCGTGGAGAGTGGTTCCATTCAGAATGGAGCACGTTTTTGCATGAGAATTCAGCTGATACACACGTGTAACTACAATGCCTATGCTACCGCTAATGCTGCACAGTGATTGGGGTCTGGAATTCGGGATTTGTGCGGATATATTTAGGGACGTAGTCTACGGACGGAAAACTTTAAAGAAGCGATATGAAAACAGCTATTCTGAAACCAGACGCTAGTTTAATATTCTCGTTTTAAGACTCGAGTGTTCTCTCTTTCTACATATATTATCAGCGGAAAATGCCACGTGATGTTTAGAACCCTTCAATGACGGCGAGTCTGAACATGGATTATAAAATCGTGGGTAAAAGCTTCTCTCGTGCTTCTTTATTGTTCGTATTGTTACAAGATTAAGTCTACGAGTAATGGTAGCTTACTGACTGAGAGTGGCATAAAGAACTTTGTTGAACCATTTGATTACGCTTTTAACACCACAGAATTAAGCATTGGCTTGTTACCACACAGTGAATTATGGACCTCACAAGTAAACAATTTATGCCGCTTTGTCTATTCTACAGCGAGAACACAACTTCAAATTTCATTCTTAAAACATGAGTCAAGTAAAGTTCGAGAAAAGTACCTATTTGTAGAAGCTAAGCTAAGTAATTTTCCCGTAAACAAGTAGAGTAAATGGGAGCGTTATTATAGGGTTCCAAATTTTCCTCAGTCCACAAGGCGACTTATGGAAGATTCTGGCAAGTAAACTTATAAGCAATAAGAATATCATTGTTCATTATCACTCAGCTAATCATTTTCATGTAAAACGAGCGGTTGTCAGGAATATGTTCCGCGCTGCTAAGAAGGTTTGCACCGGAGAGGATGAGCGGAAAGAGTCGATTAAAATGGCATGCGATGTTGCTGAAATGAATAGCTACTGCAACTTTTCAACTACAAGAAGAGCATCTTCTGGTGGCGTGATCCTCAAACATGGTAGTACCTCGATCGATGGGAAGATTCCTTTTGTACTACCATTTATCTCTGATGAGGTCAGTGCCTGTGCCACTATTAGGAAGTGTCTAAAGGGATCGGGCTCGGAAAATGCGGTTGCTATTGTTAATGTACCACCCTTCAATCTGAAGAAGCGCCTGGTTCGGAACAGGCTATACGATCGCCTATAAACAACCTCAAACTGTCTGGTTTGTCCAGCTGGAAGGGAAGGTGATTGTAACATGTTTGGGGTGTTCTACAAAATTACATGCCGTGATTGTGGTGACGAGTATATTGGCGAGACGGGAAGACCACTCCA